TTTTTATCCTCCCAGACAAGTCTGGTACCAATTAACCGACCCCGGAGGGATGGAAGGCTTGGTTGGCCCGGGCGACTCACGACCCAGGATTTGATCCCGGACCGCTCGCGTGGTAAGCGTGCCACTTGCCACTACACCACTCCGCCCTAAAACAGGAATAGAGGGACTTAAACAGTACGCACCGTAGATTAGGGCGATGTTGGGTCAAGTTTCAGTTTCCTTCATTCCAGGACTGGTTCGCCAGTGCTGTTCGTGTTTATCTATTAAAAGTACAGATGTAAACATTTGCTGGCTCCAAAACCTACTGTAAAGTTCCATTTGGGCATTTAATCACTTTCACGACCCTGAGCGGTAGTCGAATATATGGCCCAATCCATTTGGATTAATCAATACAGGGAACTTCATTGTATACTTTTTGTTTGTTGCCCTTTTCCATAGGCCGGATCTTCTGGGGAAGAAGAAAAAGTGGAACAATGACGATTCAAACGGGAACCACTTGTGTTGTCCCAGCTGCGCTACACTTTTTAGTCATTCGCGCGGTATAGCTTTGGTGGCGCTGGGCTAACATCCTGTATAGGTGGAACGTTCAAACTGGGGGACTGATGCCTAGAGACATAAATGAGTTTTTGCACGGCGGACTTCACTCTTCAGGGAGCTCGGAAAACGAAATCTAAAGGTAGTGCGAGGTTGAAGTAATACGGACATTCAATGTCCTCCGTTCGTTTTCTCCGTCTAACTCAGCTCATTCATCCACGAACCGCAGTCGGACTCGTCAAGAGAACTGTGTCAAGGGTTGGAGTTCCTTGCGCGATCGCGGCCCATTATCCTGATTTTGGACTCGTTGGCTACTAATTGGATCCTCTTCTCGGTTAGGTCCCTGTTGAGATTTGTTAAAGGCAAAGGTCGGGCTCAATAAGGGGACCATGGTTAACGATGCCCACTTAATGATATTACCCTTATAAGTAACAGATGATTGGCAATGGAAAATTTTTCGTTGGAAGTGCATCATTAGAAAGGTTCAAATATAAAAATGGGAAAAAATGCTAGCTCGGTAAATACATCTCGGATGCGCCATGCACTGGTTGTTCACGAGTTATTGCCGCAGCTGAAATGCGTCGTCAGAGCTGACGTCATGGAGAGCAATCTACTTCCTATTAGTGGCTACGGTAGCAGGCGCATTGTGTTCCGAACCTTTTCTTTCTATCTTATTTTCTCCAACAAGTGGAGATGGTTTAGGAGCAGTTGGCGCCAGTGGTTGTTCACACAAATAGCTCGGGGTCAAATCTCGGATGGAACCTAAATCGCGCAAACAAAAATATCTATCTTTTGGGGTCAGATACTTAGCGCCAGAATTTTTTGAAAGGATAAAAACACTAACTTACGCATTGAAAAATCGTGTTAAGTCAATGTATAGGGACTATTCCTATACACGCGCCACGATGTTAAATGGTTCAGTTTCTCTTCCCGAAAAAAATTATTGATCATCGCCGAAGGGTTTGTCTGCTCGTCCTTACAATGGTCCAATACAATGTCGCGGCTTGGAGCGGTAGAAACACGCTCGCGCAGGTGTCAGACCTTATGGTCTCGCTATCGAATCGCGCGCTCAACCAGCGACTAGTCGCAAAGTCTGAAACCTGCCTAGGATTGGAGATGGAATCAAACAGCCTGTCGTATACCGTAACGCCCACCTTTTGCGGTTGTATTATGTAGCTCAACACTTATTAGTAGAAGTTAGAACATATTTGTCATTCAAAATTCGATTTTTATTAGTACCGCGACATTGAGTATGAAAATGTGCTGTGAATAGAAAAACTGGTGTGAGCGCATGGTCCAACCTTGGTCCTTAAGGGTAAACGAGCTGGCGAACTTATTGGTGTAAAGTATTAAACATTTTATTTAAGAAGTAAATACATTCTATACATAAGTGACAGCTCGTTTCTCGAGCTCTCCAGTTCATTTTTTTCTCAGCCCGAATTATATTTCTCAACTGAATGTTCTGAAATTTCCAAAGTGAGAAGTCGTATATAAAAAGTAATAAGTAATAAATAAAATGTAATAAGAATAATCCTAATTCTTATCCAATTGTTCATTCAATTCCTTGCTTTTAGGACTACATAGAGCAGCTGGAAGATCGTGTCGCTGATTGCAGTCAAGAAAATCAAGAACTCAAAGCACAGGTAGGCGCAACGATAGATTGTCCTTGTGATTGTAGCTGTTGAAAACTATTTCGGGTTTTGCCTACCGAGTTCGAGCTCATTATCTTCAGGTAGAGTTACTCACTCGTCAACATCAGTCAGTTCTGTCGCAGCTGCGAAAGCTTCAAGCGGCGCTTGGTCAGGTAAGGATTGGTTTTCCACCGATTTCGCTTTCATTTTCTTCCCGTTCCTCATCTTCGGTCCGTTTCAGAGTACCCGTCGTGGAGCACAAGCCGGCACATGTCTTGCAGTTTTGCTACTTTCCGTGTGCTTATTGGTAGCACCACATCTGAACCCCTTGGTAAGTAGTACTACAGATTTGGTAGCTCGGCTAGGCAGGACCGCTCTTTTAATGCTCTTGCTACAGTATTTGGGTTCTGCTAAAAAATACTGGTAAAATTCCTTGAAATGTGAAATGGATAAGAGATCAGCTAGGTATTTTCAGCAGACAAAGCAAAGGCCCGTTGACTCTGAAGAAGCTTCTCGAGCGGCCGCCCGTCAACCACATAACCTCAGTCTGCAAGGAGGTATCAAGGCGAGCACCTTCGCAAGGTACTGTTTCATCCATGGGCTTGTTCTGTGTTCTGTTGCTTCATGGGCTATTTGAGGAGCTTCAAATAAACCCGCATTGAAGAAGGCACGTGTCTGGCATAATCGGCTTAGGTGATTTCCATAAAACTCATTCAATCTTCATTCATACCATTTCAGGTACAGCTCGCTCACGAACCCTTATGGAATACGTATCGAACGGTGGTGGACAATGTCCTCAAATGCCTGAGGCACCAGCCCCCATCGAGCCTATGATGGCCGCAGCAAAGCCTATAGGTTCCGATGGGGCCACGCAAGTTCGTTTCCGTGGAGCTGGTCCGAAGACAACGGCGTCTGGTATAGGGTCGGGTGGAATGAATTACATTGCGGTTAGTAAATTTTGAAATAATTCGATGTTTTTTTTGGAATATGGAAGTGTCACCCCCTAACATAATAAATAGTGTTCTCAGAAATTTACTACTTTTCATGGCTTTCAATAGGTTACTTTGTAATAATACGATAGTATAATTCTTCAGTATTCACACTTTTATATTTATTGTGTTACGTCCTACCTTGAAGCAAAATACGGAAGCTTTTAAATGTAATAATTTCTTCTTTCACTTCTACAATCCTCCATTTTGGTGGTTCAATCCATCGAAAAATGGATGTTAGGAGCGGGTTCTTCCCTTCGTTAACTGGAAAGTTTTTGGTTGTGTAGTTTTTTGTGACCTCATCTCTGACTCGCTCCTTGTTTGTACTCACTCAGTCTTATTCCGAAGGAGTACTCCATGGTAAGGTCGTAGATCGAAGAAGGAGAAATATGTCAAGTAGAGCGGCAGGGGGCCATGTAGGGGTACAGGACAATGAGCTTCCGTAGCAAAATGTATGCCTCAGAGCGCCCTAGGCAAGGCTACCCGCGCCGCTCGCTTCGCTGGCCACTCACCCTCCGTATTGACTTACCCCTCTAGCAGAGAGCTGCAATAGCCGATAGACACGCTCAGCGTTATGCCGATCATGCGGGCAAGAAAGGGCTCTTTCTCGGTGTGAAGCTGATTTCATGGTTTTTCATCCTGCCTCTATGGATCACCTCACCTCCATTTCCAGTGGATGTCTTTTCATCGTAAACTCGCCGCCTCCAAGGAATATGCCACGATATTGCGCAGCTTAGGTGAGCATACTTCGAATAGCCAAGGATTGTGGGTTCACGCAGTAGTGGAGGGACGTGGCTTAGGCATCAGATGGGCATATATGGACAGTCAACTTATCCCAAAGTAGTAACGATGGGAATCAGTTCACCTTTAGTCCGCAGTCTCCACGTCACTCAAAATCTATTAAAGGGAAGCTAGGAATCCGGAACAGGGTCAGCAAATAATTCCCGGACTTTTAGAGTGGTCAAGGAGAGCTGGTATACGAAAAAGTCTGATACCAATTAACCGACCCCGGAAGGATGGAAGACTTGGTTGGCCCGGGCGACTTACGACCCAGGATTTGATCCCCGGACGCTCGCGTGGTAAGCGTGCCACTTGCCACTACACCACTTCCGTAATAACTTCGTATAGCAGGATATGGCAAACCATAAGCGCCGATGAGAATCCGAAAGAAAATAAATCTACAAGAGTACCGTCATCAATAGCTATCCTCTCAATAAACTAATAAGCCGCTTCTGTAAATAGGATGGCGGGTTCGTATATGGCCTCGACTGGGAAGCGTATAGTATGAGCGCAGGCCAACGCATTCACGTACACGTCGACCACAGGTGTTACGTGAATGTGTTGGATGGAGATCTCGCTCCGGTCCCATGCTCTCTCTCAGGTGCGATATTTCTATACTACGTACGGGGCTGCCGAATTATACCCTTGATAAAGATCCCGCAGGATGGTGTGCTTCGCTGCTGTGTGTTTCTTGATGTTCAGGACTTCTACCTTCATTTTGAGCTGACAAAACGCCTCATCTGTCTTCGAGTAGTGCAATGAGTGCTTGTGCTTCTGGGCGATGAGATTTATTATAGTCTTAGGCTTTACTACTAACTGCTATTTATGAGCATGACGATTGACATGTTCTCAGATTCTCTCTTTGAATTTTAGCAGAACCGAAACTGGCGATCTTCTCAGCAGAGCGCTATCGTCTAACTACTCAACGTTAGAATGGCGTTTCGACTGTACCGAATGCTTTAACACGATCGTGCATCACCGCTATATTTACGCCACACATCCACATCAACCGGTCTCACATCGCCAGTGTACTATTACGCAACACGCTCGAAAATTCTAAGATTAATCTGGGGACAACACCTATCTGTGTGCTTCACTTCTGATGACTTCATCTCTTGGTTTTCTGTTATTTTTGGTTGGTGTTTTCATCCCAATCTCTTTGTTTTTTCATTTCCTCTTTATATTTGTATATTCCTCATTTTTATTGAGTATGGGCCGTTATGTCAAGGCACAACGTCGCGCTCTCACCTTTGGCAACCGCTTCGCCGCTTCTTGTATCTCGGACGGTTCGTCGCCGTCGCAGACGCGCCCAGTGCCTTCCAAAAAGCCGCATCCCATGGCGTCGGTTCCGCCATAAACGATGGCGCGTGTCTGGGCGTTTAGCAGTTCATGTATCTTAATGCTTTCAACGGTTTTAGCAGAGCAACACCTCAGAAAATGAAGTGCTCCTGCGGGAAGACCACTATCATAACCATTCCGCAGTTGGTCGCATGGCCCCCGTTACTTACCCTCATCTAGTGCAGATACAGGCCATAATTGACGGCGGCCAAGAAAAAGTGGTTTTTTCCTCTATTTTTTCGTGGCTGTCGTTAGTTGATGTGTATGGTCTGCACTCTACGGCCTTCTCGTTTTCCGAAATAGAGGGTACAAACGCTTTATTGTAGAACAATGTAGCGCTTCCACGTAACGGCTCATACCAATTTTTGTTAGTGTTACTGTCGTTTATAAATGACATAGCTTTTTCGTGTTATTTTAGAAAGATTCACTTATCTGTGAGTCGCTAATTTTTCGAGATGGGATACGTGAATTATTCCGGCGTAGGAGTCAGGAATATTCACGATTCATGTGTTTCATCCCTATCATTACATTTTCATTCATTTGAATCTGTAACATTCCGTGATTTTGTCTTAAAATTGTATCAGAGAGATTCTAGATATTTTGTGCCAACAGTCGTGCATATGTTCCATTAATGTCTGACTCACACTAAGCAACGCAAAATTGCAGACATGTGTAGCGGTCAAGTCCGCAAATACACAAATATCTGTATGCTTGTCGAAATTGCCATCATTAATGGTATGTTAATCGATTTTTACGTCTTCTTTTTTTGTGCTTCTACTCGTTCCACATTGTTGAATTCCCCTCTTGTTACCCTTCCCCCCAACCGGAGTCGAGTCATTATCTTTCCCTACTTTGAAATCTCTCTATCTCTCTCTCGCCCTTGTCTCTATCCCGTGAGCTTTCCTCTCGGGCGGCGTGTTTTCCATATTATTACAATATTCTGTTTTCGGGTTTTTTCACTTTTTTCTCCGTACTTATTTTGTTTCTATCCGTATCGGTCTGGTGAAATGGAATAACATAGATTGTTCTATTTTAGAAAATGTGATTATGCAACTATTCAGTATCTGTTTCATTTCAACGTGATTATGTAAATAAACTATTGTAGCAAAACAACTGAATGTTGGCACATAATTTTTCGAGTATGAGGAACGGGGAGTAATAGCGTAGAGTAAAAAGGGGGATTTCGAGTCTATTCCATTTAGGGGGGGGGCATCATAATGCAGTTTTTCCAGAAAGCTAGGGTAAATCCGAGCTAGGGGAGTGTAACCAGTCTACACTCCCCCTGGCTCGGAGTTACCCTAGCTTTCTGGAAAAACCCTAGGGGTGGGGTGGACTTACATGCGTGAAAAGCTGGAATGTTCGAGTTCACACGAGTTCGCCGAGAAACTGCTCAGATGTCCCCCTAACTGGAATAGACCTGGGATTTATCTCAATAAATGAAGCATTGTGGAGCATGAACTTATCCACACTTTGCTCAATTAGTCCTTCAAGGGCAGCTTATGCTCTCCTCCCCACAGTTACCCTCTCATTGGCTTTGCACAGCCTATTGCGAAGGTGAGTAAGCCCCTAAAGGACTTGTCTCCGGAGAATTCTTGCATCCTTTCCCAACATGAATATGTCATTTGTGACCCTAGAGACAACAAGCTTCACGTTACAATGATTCGATTCCAAGAGAAAGCGAATCGTGCACGAAAAACCACACTCTGTGGACGGTCGAAGGTAGATCGCGCGTGGGAAGAAGTGCGTCGTGGGCACGTGTCAGGGGACGCGTTGAAAGAATCAGGTTAAATCGTGTATTTTTGAGAAGGGAGATAAAACAATCAATAGATTAGGATACAGCAGAAGTGTGAGGTGAAATTTTCGCTGAAAAGGCAATCCATTTCAGAATAAGGATGGTCAGTGATAGAAGAAGAAAAGTCTGAAAAACGGCCGGGTACCGAGAAATTGGGACCCCTTCCTTGCTCGCTGATTTGCGCATGCGCATTGACGCGACTCTCATTGTGCCCTCTTCAAGGCTAACGCACTCTCTGCTATGTCGGTGAGCGTATCGCGCCAACTGCGCCAAGAGTAAGCCAATGCTAAATCGCCGGGGTCAAGTGTTTCCGCTGGCCAATATGCGCGCGTTCGCCTGCTTTCTAATCCAGGCAATATTTTCCTTTTCTTTGACCTTAGTTCTATCGTGAAGTCTGCCTTAAAGACGAATTTACGATTGGGGAAGGAAAAAAAAACAATGGAAAAACCCATTCCAAATTGAGGTAGAGATGGTGAGTAGTACCAGAAAGAAAGCGAAACCACGAAAAACGGCCCAGAACCGGAGAAATGGGACCCCTTCCTTGTCCGTTGATTTGAGCATTGATGGACTCTCATCGCTTTGCCCTCTTCAACCCTACGCTCTCTCAGCTATCTAATCACTCGCCACCTATTGTACTACGGCGAGTGATCAGACGATCGGTGGGCGGAGATCGCCGAACTCGCCAACTTTGAGCCATGCTAGATCTCAGAGGTCAAATCTTTCGATGCCGATTGCGTGTCTGTCCGCACCCTCAAGAGATTCACCGCTCTCCCCACTAGGCGATTTCTCCCTTCTTCGACCTTCGTTCTTTCCGTGCAATCCTCCTTTAATTGAAGTTTTCAGTGTGAAGACAAATATCGTGTACAGGCTTCATTATATTGTGGTCTTCCTTGGCTATAAATGAAACTTCGGATGAGGCTTGGTGAACATGAAACTCCCATCAGCATGAAGAGCTTTGCTCAAGAAAATCCGACATTTTTGAAGAAAATCTTCTTGCCTCTGGTCATGGCTTTCTCATCACGAGATTTGCTGTAGACGATACGATTCTCCAAAACGCAAGGTTTTGATCAGTAGAATTTGCATTTTTGCGCAAACTCAGTTCCATCTCGCTCACTTACATAGGCAAGCACTGTGGGCTTGTGCAGTGCTTGCTGGCGCCTTCCAACCACAACACGCATTAATAAAATTACTTCTGAACAGTGTATTTCATGAAATTACAACCGTATGAACAACCTGTTCACGACTGAACCGCACATGAATGAAGCAAATAGATACTGAACAAAAAGGACATTGAAGGTAAGAAAAGCAGACTGAAAGTGGCCACGTAGTGAGAGGACCATTAGTGCGATTATAAATATTACAAATTAATATAAAGCGTTTTGAGGGTCTAAGATGGTCCAATGATATTTAGCCTTTCTGGACAATCATAGTTCCTGAAGGGACGCTATGATACAGTCGGAGTTAATCTGGTAGTACTTCGACTTTCTCTAGGTTCACGTGTCGTCATCTGAATTCCTGCGGAATACGGCCGGTCGCCTTTGCAGAGAAGTCGGCGCATCAAGTAGATGACAGGCGGTACAATGAACAATAGCGGGAGAGCGATGATCAGCACCAGAACCTGCAATAAGATCTTATTTTTAGGGATGGCTAGCTAGAAATAAACTCATCGGCTGTATGCCCGACAGGAGGCCCGTCGCTCGGCGAGAAGGCAGAGACGCAGACGGGTCAGTGGACTAGTAGCAGCGAGGAACGTACTATGGCAAACTCTCATTAACTTGGCGTGACATCGCTGTGGTACGCGGTGCGACGACTCCTCCACTGACCTGTCCGCGCCTCTACCTTCTCGCCGCGCGACAGGCCTCCTGTCGGGTACCCATGCCGCTAAGACACGAAAATTCGCCGCTCACCACACGCGACAATTCTGTGCGGCAATTGAACATTCCGGAACCGTTACGCAACTTATTCGCTGCATGCAACGACTTGGCATAAAGGCCTGAAAGTTAACTTACCCAGACTCTGAGATGAGAACAGCATTCTTTGTGAAGATGACCGCAACATTTGTAGTAGAAGATGAGAGAGTTTTCTGAAGCAGAATGTGAAGAATGGTGGCGTTAGAAATTGAATTGCATTTTTTGTAGATTTGCAAGTTTTGAAGAAAGAAGAACCTAAGCTAACTAAAAAGTTCGAAGGCAGTAAGCACGATGTTTGCACTGGAGGTGTGTATGCGCCTGTGGAAGCGGAAGTCAAGGAGGCACCAAAGGAGACGAGTTATGGCAGTATAGCGTCAAAAAGCGCTCTGGTAGCAGCACAGCAAGGCTCCAAATTCAGACACTGCCAGGCCCCGAGTGGAATTGCCTTTTTTGAGATTCCTTTATTGGTATCAATCCATTTTCTCATTCAGAAGGTGTAGTACAATCTATAGAGCCATATCGTCCAAAATTGTCATCCAGCATTTTCTGTTTCAGTACTCTCGTTGAACAGGTGACTGACTGTCTTAGTCGTGAACTCGTCCAAACTCAAAGGACAGAGTGAAGGACATGCTTCACGAAATTTTGACAGTTTCATCCAATCTATTCTTCACAGCTGCATCATTTGGCATCCTTGCTTGATATTAAATCGCACCTCCTACAGACCCAACTCTCCCGATCCACCCTTAGTGGGAATTTCACTGAAATATAAAAATAGGAATGCGAAGTGGGATATTAGTTGAGGACAAGAAAGTGGAATCGCCAAAGCACAGGTCATTTTTCTACGCTGTGAAGGAGCCTGAAAGACAGACATCAAGGTATAAAATAAAGGATGTGGAGGAGGAGGACTCTGAGGCGATAGAGCATAGCAGATCAGCGATATAACCAGATACGCAACTACGTTGAGCCTGCATGGATTCATGAGGGGAGGGGGGGGGGTAGGGTACGTGGAGGCCAGACTCAAGCCCCTAGCACCTTAGTGACGCGTTTTGAGGCGTCGAAATAGCACGAGCATTATTGTTGCGGTCCTAATATCTGGATCCATGGTAAATGTTTTCTGCAATAAAATTGATCGCAGGATGTGCCCTTGAGAAGGCCATGCGGATAAAGAAAAACTCATGCCGATAGGGAGGAGACAAGGGGGGGGTCATTCAAATGAGTGAGCCACTCTCAATGTCTGGGACTAAGCTTTTAGGGAGGGGCAGGGATCTGGGAGAGCATGACAGCAATTTTTGTTCTGCCTGGCGTTCCTGCCCTTTCTTGACTTAGTCTTAGTGTCACCTACCAAGCAGTTTTTGAATGCCCTGTTTTGAATGTCCCCCTTCCTCCGCCCTCCCTCCCCCCATCCCCTGATGACATGAGCGTCAAACTCTTGCATTCAGAGCATACTTTCGATCAAAAAAGTTTTGAAAGAGAGCGTATTTAAGAAATAAATGAAAAACATTAAACAAGACAGGGTGAATCAAAGAGTTGGTCCCGCTTCCGTTCCGCACATGCTCTCAGACGGAAAACTGTCCAATATCCTCCCCCTGCCTGTGTAACCGTGTTGAGTCTTGCTACGATCAAAGTCTTATTTTTAAGAATAATTAAGAACAAAAACCAAAATGAAAGTTATATTTCACAAAATAAAAACTCGAAACTGGAGATCCAACCTGGGCACTGCGTTCCGACTTGGAATGTTGGACACCAAGAAATTTGGCGAAGAGGATCTAACGATTCATCCTGAAAAGAAATCCATACAACGAGAAATAGTAAAGCGTGCGTTGAG